GCCACATGGCTAAATTCGATGAAATTTTTTTTATTTGAATTCTATCAATCCATAGAATTCAAATATAAAGTTTTATCGGATTCAAGCAGGTATTTATCGTTATATCTTCGCTCAAAGTTTTTAAAATTTTTGTTTTTTTACCGGGATCTGCATGTCGATCAGTGTCAAAAAAGTAGGTGCAGGTGTATCAAAAATGAATGTTTTGCGTTACAGTATGTATTATAAATTTTTATAGCACGTGGGTACTGGAAGATAACTTATTGGCTAGTTAAAATATTGATTTCTATTGACAGCCTATCGCTATATTTTTTGAAAAATATAAACAAAATCACAGAATTTGTCTAACCACACAGGATTCTAGTTGCCGCAGAAAATCAATCCATATTCTGCTACATGACAAAGATCGACGAAATCTGGTGCAGATTTATTAACCGCATATCGATATCCTTTTCTTTTTTTTTTCTTTGCAAAGACAATGATTGATAGTCTTTTCGTTCTAAACGCGACAGGGTAGGCACCTTACCTCAATTATTTTATAAGTAATTCCTACTCATCATTTTCGAAAATTTTTGTTTTATAGAAAAATTATTATTGAAAAACATTGGCGTGGTTTAATTAACCGTCAGGTAGTAGATTATTTCAATGATCAATTTTCCAAACAATCCTCTCCAGAGGATCTTTTACCAATTATTCCAACACCAAAATACCAATTGGTGCATGTATATCGTTCTGGATTAACTTTTTTGAGTCCCGTATCTAATGAAGGTAATTTGTTCGATTTTTATAATCTACATTTTTTTATGGTGAAATATTCATATTTTTCTTAACTGCGACCAACATTAGTCGACGCGTTATTAGTACTTGAATTTATTCATCGAATTGTTGATATACTTGCGGAATATTTTGGTGAATTAGCCGAGTTATCTATTAGAGATAATTTTGATGTCGTGTATCAGGTTCGTATGTGCTTGGTTTGTGAATAATTTTATGAAATTTCAATGTTAAATTCCCAATTAATTAATAGCTATTAGAAGAAATGATGGATTATGGTAATCGTTTAATAGATAATGGATCATAGCCACTGTTTTTACATTTTTTCAATCTCTTAAATTTCAATCTTTTGAATCGCTGATTTCATGTAGGCTATCCTTTGACAACAGAACCAAATGCCTTAAAAGAAATGATTGTACCACCAAATATTATTAATAAAGTTATAAGTCAAGTAGCAGGTGTCACAAGGCAAGTCATTGTAAAGTTAATGGCCACGTTCATCTATTGTCAATATTTATCTGTTCCTTGAATTTTGATTCCAGTGTAGTCCAGCATGTACCTAATGGTAGCACTATATCGAGCATCCCATGGCGTAAAGCTGGTGTTAAGTATACCAATAATGAAATATATTTCGATGTTGTAGAAGAGATAGATGCGATCGTTGATAGGTACGTGTGTTAAAAATATACTTGTATGTTTATTTCTTAAATTCTCATAACAATATATTTAATTAATAGTCTTGTTGTATCTCAGTAATGGTGCTATAGTATCATCAGAAATCCATGGACTGATACAAGCTAACTGTCGTTTATCCGGTGAGTAACTGCCTTTTACTTTTTTTGTCGCCTTTTATTAATGAACTAGTCGGTTTACCTGTTTGCCTTCGAAGGGATGCCTGACCTCACTTTAAATTTTGTCAACCCACGTGTACTCGACGATTATAGTTTTCATCCTTGTGTGAGATATAACAAATTTGAAAATGAACGCGTTCTTTCATTTGTACCGCCTGATGGCCATTTCAAATTGATGACCTACAGGTAAAAAAAGTATTATTATTTTCTATGTCTCTAACAAATACATATTTGTAATTGTGTTTTTATTTCTAATGTTTAGGGTGAATTTACCACATCATCAATCTTTACCATTATATGTTAAACCGCAAATTTACATAGGCAATGGTGGTGGTTCGTAGATTTTGTTACCCATATCAATTTTGATTTTGTTATAGTATAACTTTTTTTCTTTTTTTTCAATGTAGGAAAATTTGATATATCCATAAACATAAGGAACACGGATGGAAAGTCAATTGAAAATGTGTTACTTGTATTTCCGCTTGCCAAGTCTGTATCTAACGTTAACGCTACATGTAATCTTGGTTCTTACATATTTGATCCTGTTACAAAGGTAATATAATATATTTTCATTCAATTTTTTATATTACTATTGTTCTGATTTATATTATTATTACTTATAAAGAGTATACGATGGAATATAGGAAAAATCGAGCTAAAAGATAGAGCACCAATATTGTCTGGTAACTTTAGCAGCACGTAAGTTGAAATGTTAAATTCTTAAATTATATATTCTTATATTATCTATTCTTTATTAAATTATTTATTCTTAAATTATTTAAAATTTTGTTTTTATATTTATTAAATTACCTTTAAATTATCTGATTTTAAATATTTTTTTTAAAAATTATCTTGCGCATTTATTTTAAATTATTGTATATCATACAGTGAACAAACACCAGAATCAGGCCATACAATTACTATTGATTTTTTAATCAACATGTATGCCATTTCTGGGCTCAAGGTGGATAGTTTGAAAATTTATAATGAGGCATATAAGCCTTATAAGGTTAGTCATGTGTTTCATGATTTTTAATTTTGCAATTTTAAATTATTATATTTGATGTTTTTTTCATCAATTAAAGGGTGTACGAAGTATGACAAAAGCAGGAAAATTTCAGATTCGTACATGAACATGACTTTTTTTCAAAGTCCAATTTTATTCTTATCATGTAGACAATAAATAGTAAGAGATTTATAAAAACGAAATAAATTAATTAAATATAGACTTAATTCTTGTCGTGCCAAGAAATTGTTTTATTATATCACATCGCATTTTTACTTTCGTTTGTCCACTTTACCTTTCGTGGGATTCATCCACTTATCAATGTACTATTTACACATGATAGGAAGAACATCACTATTCGTGATGATTAATCTTCACGTATTTATTATATTACACCAAAATTGCCGAGTTCGTTGATAATTTTCAAGAACTAGAATTTCTAACAATATTTTATTCATTTCAGAACTGTTCTATTATAAAATGCTCATTTTAGTGCTTTTGAAATAGAGCCACATAAGTAGAAGGTACATACATGCTTATGATTTTCGTGCTGTATTGCGAGTTAGCGATATTTTTGTTTGGAAAAGAACATCAATTATTCAATAAAGAAATTTGAAAATTTTTTATTATAAGAATGGCCAATTCGGCTAAAGAATGTTGACTGTATACAAATATTAAAATTTAGAAACATGGTCTAGGATATTTTTATTTCAGTTGCTGCTAAGCGCTTAATAAAAAAATTATAGGTGATAATTTATTTTCATTAAAGCTTAACTTCATCATTATCATTATTAATTCTGAGCTTTAATTTAGAAGTAAGTTGCGCTTTTTTTTGGGCGATATCGGAACGATTTTCCAATAATTCTCCTACCAATTCTCCATGCATATTAGCTTGTTTCTGAGATTCAGAAAGAGAATTAATTGATCTTAAATCGTTAACAATATCTTTTGTTTTTCCGAAATATACTTCCTGAAGTAAATTACGCATTTTAAGTTCAATATCTTCAACCATTCGGCCAATATTAGCAATGTGAGCATTTGGTTCCTCGAATGGATAATCTGCATCAAACTGTCAATAAATGATGCAAGTATAAATGACGATTTAATGATATCATGTTATCATGTTAAATTGATCACTATAAAAATAGAATATGCACCTGTCTCGTCATGCTACCAGACAAATTCAAATTTCCAAGTTCGGATTTACTTGTAATCGTATATAACATTACAGTGGATGTCAATTTATAATGAGCATTACGACCTCGTTCATTTGCTTTGAACACGTGGATCGAGTCCCAAGCACCTTTCATTTTACGAACACTATCGCCAACTAAATAGGGCAAAAGTAAATTTATACATAATTCTAGGGAAATAAGCACTATTTTTTTTTTTTTTTATTCACCTTTTTTAAATAGCACGGCACCAGAAAATCCATCCTGGCCCTGGTCATCCCAAAAGTAGGCTGCTGAATTACCACCTTCGTAATACCTAACGCATAAAAAAAAGATATTAATAATGAATTGATTCAAAGATGTATTAAAATATTATTTATAAACGTTACATTTCTCGATATGTATTAAAAGCGTCGTTGGCAGCAATTTCCAATTTGCGTGTTTTTGAGGATGGGACTATACCATCGTTTATGGGTGGATCATACTCATTTGACCACGGAGATCTATAAATGTAATTAAGCATTTAATTATAATGTATAATGGTTTAAGTAGTTGAAGACATATTTAGGCAAAACGCGTATTATTGTCTTAGGAGTTACTAACCGAAAAGAGTCACCATCTCTGTTAAAGGTTGACTGTAAATATTCCTTATTCGTTATTGGACATGTTGCAACTTTAAGTGGTTGGTCAACAGCATTAACCAGGTCCTCGTGAAGGGAAGGAACGAGAGATATGAGTTGTGAAAGGTTTTCCTCAGTATTCTGAGGAGGAAGTCGTCTCATGAGATCTAATGCACATTCTAATTGATCACCCTATTAAACAAAATGGTGTAAATATAATAAAAAAAAGTTTATGTGGCTGAAAAGGCAAATAACACTCACCATTTTTAACGATAAAAGTTTGCGAAAGAAATTTTGATAGGAAGTCACGGTATCTTCACACAAAGAACGAACTTTTAATGGTTGATGATGATATGCAAGAATTGGATTGGCTGGAGATTCAAAATAGGTGGTCTCATATGATCGGTGATTTCTCACAAAAGATCGTGCCATTATACAAGAAAAATTGGACAGCTAGGTCAATTTATTGAGATCATGATTTCATTTTGTACAACAATTTTGGCTGATTCTTTGTCTTTAACGAGCTTCGATTATTCAATTAACGTTCGAACACAATGCACCAGCCTTACATGAATAATCTAAAGTGTCAGATAAAATTACGCTTTTTTTTTTTTTTGACGTCAAGTTCCGGTAGCACACACAGATAATCACTTAAATAATTGTTAAAGTACACATTGTTTAAATTATTTCTTTTTTGATTCTTTCCTGTATATCTCAGGTTTATTAAAATAAAATTATGATACCGATTTAGAAGTCAACATTAAATAAAATATAAGGTTTAAAAATATCTGCATTCTACTTCAATTTAGTGATGATATGGTTGGTGAATTCAGTATTTGTGGCGGAGCCGCCAAGATCACGCGTAAGGCACTTGCCCTCAGCAATAGTACTGAGAACAGCCGTTTCAATTTTATCAGCAAATGTATATAGACGCATGTGACGAAGCATCATTATTGAAGAAAGAAGGAGGGCCGTGGGATTAGCCAGATCTAATAATACAGATCAAATTCGCGTTTTAAGTATAAATGAAATTTAAAATACATTTCAAAGGATTTTCACTTACCTTTTCCTGCGATATCAGGTGCTGTTCCATGTACAGCCTCGAAAATCGAAGCATCTTTACCAATATTCCCTGAAGGAGTCAGTCCAAGTCCACCAATTAGTCCAGCACACATATCTGATAAGATATCACCATAAAGATTGGGCATAACCATCACTGTATCAGAGAAGCGTGCAGGATCTTGGACTATCTGAATTTGGCAAAAATTCATTTTAAACAATAGTTTGCGTTATCTGAATAACCACTGAAAATATCTTATTATTACTCACATGGAGACACGCACGGTCCAATAACATATCATCGAACTCGATTTCCGGAAATTCTTTTGCTACTTCTTGACAAGAATCCAAGAATAAGCCATCTGATAATTTCCTATTATAAATTCATTATTAATAATACTATGAATGTACTACACTTTTAATAATATTTTGAATGAATAGAAGTTTACATGATATTAGCTTTGTGTATGGCAGTAACACGGTTACGTCCAATATCTTTTGAATATGTGAAGGCGTAACGAGCGCATCTATCGGATGCTTCTTTAGTAATTAATTTGATTGATTGAACGACGCCATCGACGACCTAAAGTGCCAAAAAAAATTTTTTTTATCAAGTTGTAAAAATTTGTTAAATACATAAAGAATTTTTTTTTTGCCTACTGTATGTTCAATTCCAGAATATTCACCCTCTGTATTTTCTCGAATCAATACTGTGTTAACATCATCGTACGGTGTTTTATAGCCAACTATAGATTTGCATGGACGAACATTTGCAAAAAGGTCAAATGTACGACGAAGAGTAAGGTTAAGGGAAACATGGCCTTTTCCAATTGGAGTGGCTAAAGGACCTATAAAAGCAATGCGGAAAATTAAAGTAATTTAAAACGAACGACTAATCGATTTAGTAACTCTCAAGATTGTATTACCCTTTAATGCCACTGTGTTTTTCTTTACAGAAATCAATGCTTCTTCGGGAATTACCGTCTTCCCTTTTTTAATTACAGGAGTGACATTTACTGGCTCCCATTCGATAGGTACCTGAAATTTAAAAATTATAAGTATAATTCAAAACAATAATTAATTAATCTTTTTACTAAGTTATGACCTACTTCGGCAGCACCATATATCCGTTTTACGGACTCAGATATCTCAGGCCCGATGCCGTCACCAGGAATAAGTGTCACTAGATAATTACCCTTTATGAACAAGAAAAAAGCTTCAGTAAAACGAAATTATCCAAGAACTGAAAAAGAAATTTTTACCTACATTGGCATTAGGCTTGGCGTAAAAGGCCTCGGTTATAGGAGGAGCTGCAGAAGCAAAGGAACGAAGACCTATAGACTTTGAAAATAAATACAAAGGCGCGAATTATTATATAAATTCCACAGTAAAACATACTATAAGATGATTTATTACATCAGAAATGTACGTTGGATAAGCTTAAGGACTTGAAAAGAGAAAGAGATCTGGACCGAAACATTGCATTGACTAAGAATTTGTTTTAGGTAACTTTTCGCGAAGAGCATTTGAGATACGTATATTTGAGATATCTACGATAATGATGATCAGTAGCAGGTTGCACAAGATTTTCGGATCCTCTATTATAAATGCTTGCGCTGCGGTTTACGCTTGTTCGTTGCGGCTTCGCAATAAAATATCAAACTTGTAAACTTCATAATACTCAACCTTTAAGAAAAATGCCTCCGAAAAAGGTGGTCAAAGAAGAAAAAATTTTATTAGGGAGACCGGGTAACAATTTAAAAATTGGTATTGTAGGCATGCCAAATGTCGGGTAGGTTTTTTAAGTTGAGTCGATCACTTTTAAAACTTTTACTTTACTGATTAAAGATTCGATCTTTTTTATATAATAGTAAATCTACGTTTTTTAATGCCATTACAAAAAGTGCTGTAGCCGCGGAAAATTATCCTTTCTGTACAATTGGTAATACATTTAGTTGATCAAAAAATTTTTAATAATATACACGGAATTAAAATAATTTTTTAACAGATCCAGAAAAATCAAGAGTGGCAGTACCAGACGCACGGTTTGATTGGCTATGTGAAGTATTCAATCCAGCATCCAAAGTACCGGCTTATCTCACTGTTATTGACATTGCAGGATTAGTTAGAGGTGCAGCTTCTGGTGAAGGATTGGGTAATAACTTTCTTAGTCACATTCAGGCCGTGGATGCTATATTTCATGTTGTCCGTATCCTTTAAATTTTTTCATATCCAATATAATAGAATAAAATCTTTTCTTTTTTTATCTTTAATCAGTTTATATAATTTGATGGAAATTAGGGGCTTTCTCCGAAGAGGATGTTACACATGTTGAGGGTGAACTTGATCCTGTAAGAGATCTAGAAATTATTCATAATGAACTTCGTCTTAAAGATGAAGAATTCCTTGTTAAAAAAATTGAAGGTTTGGAGAAGGTGGCGGCACGCGCAGGGAAAGGTGGCGGTGCAGCAGATAAGGCAAAAAAGGAAGAATTGGTTTGTATTAATCAAATTTTAGAGTGTTCAATATCAAAGGTACTAAAAGTTCATTTGTTAAAAATAATGTTTATCTTAGGAAATTATACAAAAAGTGCTTAAGTTGGTACAAGAGGAAAAGAAAGATGTCAGGAAAGGTGATTGGAATAATAAAGAGGTAAGTGTTTTATAAAAACATTATTATTAGGTTTGTTAGACTTTTGAGGCTAATAACTACAATAATAGGTTGCGGTTATTAACACTTTACAATTACTTACTGCAAAATCTGTAATTTATTTGGTTAACTTGAGCGAGAAAGATTATATTCGCAAAAAAAATAAATGGTAATATACTATGATAATTATATACAATATTTATAAAAAAGAGATATTAGTTAGTTAAATGAATATCTTCATGTTAGGTTAGCAAAGATTAAAGCATGGATTGATGAAAACAACCCAGGTGATTTATTACTCCCTATGAGTGCATCCCTTGAATATCGTCTTTCAACTCTAGAAACAAATGAGGAAAGAGAAACGTTATTAAAGAGTTTAGAGACTCAATCTGCACTACCACGTATTATCACTACGGGATATCAAGTACTTCAATTGATATATTTTTTCACTTGTGGATCAGACGAAGTTAAAGCATGGACAATTAGAGTATGTTTATTCTTTTTTGAACTGGAGGCAATAAAGATAACAATAATAATTTTTTTTTTTTTTTTCAGAAAAGTACTAAAGCACCACAGGCTGCTGGAGTGTAAGTAATTCCGTCATTCATGTTCTTTATTTAGGGTGCTCTCAAGCGTTACCCTCATTTAAATCGAAAAGACCTGGAGCATCAACCACTCATTTTTTCATAGATTTACTTTGGTTGAATCTGCATTTCGTACTGTAGATTTGCAGCAAAATCATTACAAAGGTCATTTCAATTAATTGCAATGATTGAGCGACATCTCGATCACTAGCAAATTGCATTGAGGGAGCTATTTGGGAACACACTTTTTTCAAATTAGTATCACTTTATTCACATTTATTTTAAATAAACCAGGATTCATCAAGATTTTGAAAAAAGTTTCATTCTTGCTGAAATCATGAAATATGATGATTTAAAAGAACTTGGAACTGAAACTGCAGTCAAAGCTGCAGGAAAATATATGCAAAAAGGAAAGGAATATGTTGTAGAAGATGGTGACATTATTAATTTCCGAGCAGGCCTTGCAAATAAGAAATAAAATTATCTGGTCCCTTTTTAAACACAAACCGGACTTTATGTGTTTATGTTGTACGTACAGTACGTCAAAAATCAATTTTTATAAGTTCGAATTAACTTGTGTTACGGTTGGTTAGAGAATTTAATATTGTAATAAATGGATTTAACTTAAAATTTGATTAATCAATAAAAATATTTTTGTAAAAAAAAAGTGATTGAAATTCCTATTCGTCAAGTCGCTCTATATTGTAAATTTTGTAAATTTTTTAAGAATGACCGAGTTGCAATCCCGCAATACATTTGAAAATTTCTCAATGGCAAATATGTTAAAACTTTATCACATCAGAAGATTATGGTTTCTGTATTAAAGCTTTTCGAGGTCCATTAAATACAACTATTGGAATATTGATAAATCCTGTATTGCAACTATTGCTTCTCAAAATCAATCAATCTCTAATATGAATTATTTGACTTGATTAATTAGGGAAGTGTCATTTATCATTTGATTTTTTTAACAGGGGAGTGGGTGCCAAAATATCAAGCTAATAGATCACATGTATATTTTTATATATAATCGTAATCATTTGAGGGAGGGGGGAAATTTTACTATTTCTGTATTTACAAAAAATCAGATGATAAATGACACTTCCCTTATTTGAACTTCAAAAATTTGTAAGTTTTTGGAACAAATGTCTTAATAATGTCTTAATGAATATTAAAAATTGATCAAAGATATATCTTAATAAGGGGTATCCGTAATTTACGTTAAACCAGTACTATATTGTATAGAAATAGAGACCTTGAAGATAATACCATAAGGGACGTGTCAGATATTAGCTGAGATCAATTTACTATAGAGCTCCGAGAAATTTTAGTCATTCTGATAGTTATATGTATATATTTAGACCTGAGATTTTGTCTACCTCCCTACGATATCAGCTGATATCTGACACTAAGATCCCTATAACAATACTGGTTTAACGTAATTATGGCAGTATAAAATAACATTCCTATATAAAACAATTTACTTTCGCTATGTTAAAATTCCAATAAAAATTTTTTTATAGATTTGTAAAGGCGGCATCCATAATTTACGTTAAACCAGTATTGTTATAGAATCTTAAGGATAACACCATACGGTATTATCATCAAGATTCCCTATTTATATACAATACAGCACTGGTTTAACGTAAATTATGGATGCATATCCTTAATTTACGTTAAACTAAAGTTTGGAACCGGTTTTATTTTTCATATGTTGAAACCGATTCAACCCGGTTTTAACATATGAAAAATAAACTGGTTCCAAACTCTACGTTAAACCAGTACTGTAATATATAGAAATATAGGAGCAGGGCGTAAAATACCAACTTATTTACCGGCCATTCAAAAATATCGTTCTTGATTCAAATTATTTTAATTATTCTAATGTATCAAAAAAGACATTTGAAACAATTGGCTGCATGGCCGGTAAATGAGTTGGTATTTTACGCCCTGAATAGGAGACCTTGATGATAATAACATATGGTATTATCTTTAAGATTTCTATAACGATACTGGTTTAACGTAAAACTATGGATGCCGCCTTACAATGCCTAGGGTAATTAGCAATATAAATTGGAGAAATTCTATTTTTATCCGGGTGAAAATAGAATTTCTCTAATTTATATTGTTGATTACCATATGTTTAAGGGAGCAACGTTAAACCAGTATTGTTATAGGGATCTTAAAGATAATACGAAAATAATAACATATGGCATTATCTATCTTTATACAGTGCTGGTTTAACGTAAATTATGGATGCCCCCTAATGAGATTAATAACCGGATATAGCATGTCTGATAAATGGATGTAGGATTAATCCGAATTGGAACTCTAGTAAAATTAGATAAAAAAAATTATTTTGATAGAATTATTGAGAAATATAACCTTTTAGTCAAACTTTGAAATTTTGCTATAGAGACTTACAAATTTTGAAGTTTAAATAATTGGTCAAGTTAAATAATTCAAATACAGGTCACCCTCGTTAATATCAACCTAAGCCACAAAATCAAATTTTTAGAATTCCCTCATATATATCAACTTTAATATGATTTATCGTTAATATCACTATCAACATGATTTAAAACCAATTCAAACGGGTTGATATTAACGAGGGTCACCTGTATTAAAATTCAAAATTTGGCTTTGAAAAAATAGATTTTTAATCGAGTTCAGATTGGTTTAATTTCAATGACCAGCCTTCCAGATGAGGACTATAATAATATTTGTCACATGGGCTGAAATTCTTCCTTTGGGCCTAAAAATTCCTAAATTGATAATTTTTCAAAAGTTATAAGTGTGCAAAGAAGCTTTACAGGCACAATTATTAGTATCACAAATAGGTAATATAAAATATAGTTATGAGATAAATGTGAAAAAAATCTCTACAAATGTAAAAAGGCATAGTTGCCTTGCGAAACCACAATCACGCATGTAATAATTAATGTAGTTGACTTGAGTAAAATTAAAGTTTAGTTTAACTTGACGTACAACATTTACAATTAATTAAATTAGTTTTTACAGTTTTTATGGTTTATAATCTATTAAAATTGTTATCTACCTACAGTATGAACCTTGAAGTTTTATATTATGCTTCTATTAAAAGTTGTCTAATTGTCTATAGTTTTGTCTTTATAAATTACTCAATGCCAACTTTATCATTTTTATGTCATCGTTGACTTCCTGAGTCTTCTTTCTTTTTTTCTTTTAACTATTAGAATCAAATATTTCCGTGAAAGAAGAAACTGTGGTTGGAGTACGCGCTAATGGGGGACGCTCTTCTTCAAAAAGTGAAGTTGGAGTAGTTGGAGTAGGTGGAGTAGGTGGTAATGGAGGACGCAGCAATAAATCATCTCCAGAAGTATTTCGAGTTAGTGCTTTATCAATGCTTCTAGGAATCACAAGTTTAAGTGATTTTTCAAGTGATTTTTTAGACTTTCTAACTTCTCGCGGAGTGATATCTACATCTTTTTCAGGATCGTCACTCTTATTCTTGTCACGACAAAAACGAAAGGACAATGCAAACAAAGCAATTATTATAATCATAAGAAAAGCATAAATGAATGGTTCCAGTTTATCTATACTATCTATAAAGGAATCTTGAAAAGGATGTGATATTAAAGCTGATGTTGTTGGTGGAGTTATTATGCCGGTGGCTTGAGAATTAACTTTCACTCTTGTTATAGTTGGTATTGTATCAGCAGTTTGTGGTATATCAGCTGTATCAGTAGTTTGTGGTATATCAGCTGTATCTGTAGCTGTGGTTGTTGGATCTAGTTGGCGTTTATTCAATAATTTATGTGAAGAAGATACGTTACAACCATTGCCTTTACATCTCTTTCTTATCGAGCTTGCATTATAAATAAAATATAAAAATTACTATATATACTTGGCAATTTAATAATTTAATTCTTTACTTGATTAAAAAATTTTAGTTAACTTACTATCGAAAACTTGATGTCATTTTCTACTCTTAGAGAATAAAAGTAAAGATATTAAACAACTGAAACTTGAAACTATAAGGCGAAAGCTCCATTATTGTTCGTGAATCTAACATCAATTTATAAACTTAGTTACGTCATATTTGATTAATTTGTTTAGTATAGTTCCAAACTAGGAATGATATTTTCAATTAAAAAAGTAATACATAATTGACTAATTGCCATGTGAGTTCAAATACCCCGAAAGGTTAAACGAAATACTGTACTACATTTGAAGTTTATTTAACTGGCTATCAATTCCTATTTAATTCTATATTATTTTATACAAATTCAAAAGTTATTTCTTAAAGGGTTAGTAAAAAATTTTATATGTATGTAAATTAGAGTTACTATTACAATTTATTGGACTTCGCCCCCAAGATAGATAGATCCCTTAGAGAAGTTTGTATAATGTTACTGGGGTTAGGCGACACAAATTAATATCTGATTCATATATTTTTACGTGTCCTATTTGTGCGAGCGCATTATGGGTAATTTTTCACAATTTTTCGTATGGGCTGATTTTTGCGATTTTTGTCGATCCGTATATGATTTTTGCGTTTATTTAAACTGAAAATAAAATTTGATCCAATTATATATGAGATTTGTGTGAACTTTGAATTTAAAAGTTAGAGTTTGGATCCGGTTATCCGTTGGATACAAATTTAATAGTAAAATCCGTCGGATATCCGTTAAATTTAATATGAAAGCGGATGAAAACGGATGACCGGATCCAAACTCTATTAAAAGTGATAATTTGATCATTAATCGTAAATTCTCACACAAGTTACTTACCAGTTACTTATCAGTTTAGTGACACGGGCAGACGAAAAAATCTCTGGCAGGGCCAGCCCGGGCTGACCAACCTCGATGCGGCCGATTAGGGCTGACCTTTTCATGAATGATTTTGAATAATTCTGAAAGATACTCAACCTTTCTCAATTTTTAAACATCGTTGAAAGTCATTCAGATTCGATTCGATCTTTTTTCTGATCCTAATAAGAGATTCGTATTGTTGTCTTATTTTTACATTCCGAAGAAACCCGGCCGTATCACTATATCAGTTATTTATCAGTTTAGTTTAGTAGTTCTTGCCTGTTTTTATATAGTTATTTTATAAGTTCTCGCATTTTCGCTCCCTGAAATCGCACAATGACTAAAAGACTCCTGCGATTGGTCAATTCTTTATTATAATCATGTGTTAATTATATATTATTTCGGGAATATTCGGAAAGATCATAAACACAAGTCACTCTCGTTATAGTAAAGTGTTCGGGCTCTTCACTATATCAAGAGTCTATTAGTAAATTCACAATATTCAAATATTCACCGAATATTTATTGAATGTTGATTGGAACAAATAATGAATTGAAGCAATATTATGAAGGTGAGTTTAAATGTGCAAGCTAGCAAACGAGTTTTATATTTACAAGCTATATTAAAATAAATAAATAGATAGAGTCGTTTTACTTTGGGCTCATTATTATTAGCATTAGTACCCAATCAGAATACAAGATTGTGACATATTGACACCTGATCTTGAATTTAATTGGTCAATTAGATAGTATGTATTCATTAAATATTCGGTGAATCATTTGATGAAAATTTTTTGTATTCGAATATTCATTGAATATTCGAATATACCATTCATCGGAGTAGACCTCTAATTAAGAGGTAATAATGTAACCAGAAAATTTCACATAACTATCCCAAATTATAATATTACTCCTATTTAGAGTTGGGCACCGAAACCCGAAACCTCTCCGAAACCTTAAAATTAGAATGTTAATAACTAATGCACATTTACTATAAAGTAACCAAAATATTTCTGAAATGCAATCTAATTATCATGTACTTTATGTCTTAAAGTCTAAAATTAAAATTCTAACCCTTTTAGTATAGTATAAAGTTTCGGAAAAGGTTTCGGGGTTTCGGAAAGGGTTTCGGGATTTTATATATAGTTTCGGGTTTCGTTACCCAACTCTAGATACTAGTGATGCCTGACGAAACTATTTTCGCACAGACGAAATGTATTCGTCTCTGGTTTCATCAGACGAAACCCAGACTAATGACGAAACTATACAAAACTATAGACAAATGACAAAACTATAGACAAATGACAAAACTATTGACGAATGACGAAACTATAGACGAATGATGAAACTATAAACGAAACTACAGATGATTGACAATTGATGAAACTAGAGATAGGTTTCATGTATGCTGAGAAAGTGTGGGCTAATTGGGATAATTAAAACTCACCAACTAACTAATTTAACTAATGCAAAACTATACAACAATTGTCCTAAGATATCTTAGCATTGAATCAGTAGACAGAAAGAGGCTGTAAAGATTTGGTTTGGGTCTTAAGGTTAGTAGGGTCCTGCTACAGTGTAACTGGTCTTACAATACTTAATATTAATTTTGTAACTGGTCTTACAATACTTAATATTAATTTTATAACAGAGTCAATGATTTTTTACAGTGATAAAATACCAATTCAGTTCATGCAAAATGATAATTCTGTGATCTGACCAGAATTACATAAAACGGCCAGCATTATGGTTGTAAATTCTGGCCAGAATTAAATATCAACTGGCATTATGTTAAGCAAAAAACCTAAGTCTCAGCCAAAAATCTGTTCATGATATCACATGAACAGGATAATCAGTATCAAATATCAGGTGCTCCTATTAAATCAAATAGGGCTATTGCAGTATAAAGAGCTCAAACTCTTCAAAAATCAAATTTGAGTTCTTTCAAGATTTAGATCAATCTTGAAATAGGCTATACTTTTCAATTAGAAATTAATTTGCATAATAAAAAATCATGGTACTTTAAAAACTTTTTAGAATACTTGTGCATCATGAAATTACCTGATATAGACAACCAATCAAATCATTTAACTCAGATTAGCTTTAAAAAATAAACATGATTTTTCAAAATTATATATTTCTGAGTTTGGCATAATTTCAAAACTTCACATGAGTATAGGTTATGATGATAAGTTTTCACATATAAATTACTAAATGCATATAATGTTTTACTAATTATTTTTATATAATAGTTTAGAATATTATGCCATGTTCCATGTGAGGATTTTTTGTGCTTCAACTATTATTTTAGCTCTTTCTAATGCAATGGCCTCAAATAACTATAAAATTTAGACTCAAAACCAATAAAAGTTGCAGGATCTTCAAATATTTATATAATATAAATAACTTTAACAATAAAAACAAAAAAATCACAATAAAACAAAATTTTACTATTAGAAGATAGTTATGCACTAATTAGTTTAATCATTTTCTAAGCAATAGTTGCATGTTTATTTTATTTATTTTTTCTTATAAATATATATATATTTACACAGTTTTGTTATGAGTTTTATTTTTTATTATAAGTTTTATTATTCATTACAGGTTTTATTATTTATTGTGAGTTTTGTCATTTGTCTAATTGAAGCTGCTAGACAAAACAGTTTCGTCATATAACCTATTTTATCTTTTGCCTGACATTATTAATGTAATACTCTAAGTAAAAATGCTTTATATTCCAAAACTCTTTCTAAACCTTAATTCTAGCACCAAATACTAATTTAACATAAAAAATTTGTACTAAAAATTTTATTGTTCAAAGCGTAGTGAGGACTTATATATAAAAGTTAAAAAATACATATCTGTTTGCTATATAACTTTATTGTAATTGGCTATTACAGTCTATACTAAATTAGACTTTTTAGTTAAAAATTGTTTATCTATTTGTCTACTACAAGACTTTATTGTAATTGGCAAAACTAACTACTCTAGATACTTTCATTATAATTAGTTAGATTTTAATAATCATCTTGTAATTTTATTGGCCAATTGACCAATCAAATTGTGAGATAATAATAGAATAATAATGATATATAGTATTTATATTAGTCTTTAAAGTTTTACATAAATATTAAAATATAAAAAACACTCTTAATATCTTTATAAAGAAAAATATTAATTATTGCAAGCTGAATAAATCTTCTCTATTATATTAATAAATATATCTTTTTTGTTATTTCATTTGATACTATAAACTATGCTAAATTTGAAGGTCTTAATTTAAAAATATAAACTCTACAATATTGCTAATCTAAATTTTAATTTATTCTTTAAAAAAAGCTAATTCAAAAAATTTAAAAAATTACATATAATATATACAAATTTCAGTATTATCTATTTTAAAATTATTCATAATATTAAATATTAATAACTACTAATTATAAAAGCTATCTATTATGGCAATTTTAATACAATTATTTAGTATTGAATCTAAGATTATTATATGAAAAGAAGCATATTAGCAAAGATTAAAAAATAAATAAATAAATAAAATAATTAATAAAAGTCAGTTTAAAAGAAAATATAGGAGGTGATAAAAATAATTCTCTGCTTAAGTACTTGGCTTATAACTTAAAACCTACTAATTAATCTTGGCTTTTATTTATTAATCTAAATCTATATCTCTTTGTAATTAAATAATATTATTTTTAAATTATATCTTGTATAATTAACAAATTATATAATTTTATTTTTAGAGTTTTAAAAAATTTAATATGTGTTTTTTTAAAAAATATTTTAATATATATTAATTCAAATTTGATGAAATTTTAATATATTATAATCACACTTTTGGGACCATAGGAACTTTTTTAAAAAATGGTCTTATATAGAGGTATAACTGTACTATAAAGTTATTTTCAAGGCAAAGACCCATATGGTTTTATAGCTATAGTAGTAAATCTAATTATTCTCCAAATTATAAATTTGAATACATTTACTGGTTTTATTACAATAGCCAGCTATATAGCA